CTCCGGTGGAGGCTGGGGTCCGTGTGCCCAGCCGTGGAGCTGTGCCAGGCGGGGGCAGCCTCTCCACAGGCCCTAGGAGCCCTCCCAGCCCCAACACCCAGGGCCCGAGCTTCCCCACCCTCCTCACACGCCCGCCCAGCGAGCTCAGGGCCCTGTAGCAGCAGAGCTGACACCGGGCAGGTGTGTGCAGAGGGAGCCTGAAGGGTCCTTCACGCACAAAGGCCTGCTGCCAGGCCCAGGGTGCACGCTGCTTTTGTGTTTTGTGCTGTGTCTGCAAGCGAATGCCACCTTGTGCCGGGCGTAGGGGCATACACGTGGGTGGGGCCACATGGCTGCCTGGGTCCCACACGCCCACCCTCGGCTGGGGACGGGGCCTCAGCTCAGGTTCACACACACTCACAGGGTCATCCACTCACTTCATGAAATGAACACACACACACACACACACACATACACACACATACACACATACATACATACACATACACACACACACATACACACACATACACACACACATACACACACACATACACACACACATACACACACACACCCTGGTATGGTCACATCAGGGCAACACAGACAGACATGCCCATGTCTGTGTTCCCACGGACACGGTGACAGGCAGATCTTGATACCCACACATTTATGTGCGTGGAGATATTTGCACAATAAAATACAGGACATTCCCACGGCCTCCGAGACTTCCACCTGCGTGCTGGCACGGCCAACACACTCACACTCACACTCACACTCACACCTCAGACTCTTCATTTGCATTCACAGGTGGCCTCAAGCCACGCCCGTGGGACCAGCATTCCCCTGGCCTGACCCCCAGGGTGAGCACTGAGGATGTGGACAGAAGGACCAGGGCCTGGGGTGGAGGCAGGGGGGGGGAGAGGGCCAGTCTCCCATCCCCACAGGAGCATCTGGGAAGCCTGCTCCTCCTTCCCTCTGCCCCTGCAAGGTGCTCCGCCCTCCACCAGGCTGGGCCCTTCTTCCTCCCTCCGTCCTCCTCCTCTCACCAGCTGGCCATCCTCCTCCTGGAACGGTGCCCGCCAGGTGCCTGGCATCTGAGCAGTGGGCGCTGCCTCACTTCCTCACCTCCCATCTTGCCCCCCCATGTGCCCCTCACACCTGGCTGTGTCCTTCCCCACTAGAATCTGTCCCCTTGCTCCCCACTCCATCTCAGGAGTGTCTATACCCCGGGCTCCCATCCTAGTGCCAATTCCATGCTCTAGGGGGGCCCAAATCTGACTACGGCTCTTTGGGGCCCAGACCCCTCTGCTCGTTCATTCATTTATTCACTCACTCACTCACTCACTCAGGATTTAGGGCCTGCAAAGTCTTGCCAAATCTAGCATTCATTTATTCACTCACTCACTCACTCACTCACTCAGGATTTAGAGCCTGCAAAGTCTTGCCAAATCTATCCCTTAGCAACCTCTCCAGCCTTATCTCTTACCTTGTGCCCCACCCGCAGGGTCCCCCAAACCCACAGTCCAGCATACTAGTGGCTCCTGGGGGCTCAGGAGTTCCCAATGTCCCTCTCAGCCTTTCCCCATGCTCTCTCCTCTGCCTGTGTGGAGGTGGGGGTATCCCCCAATACCTTTTACTACCTGGTTCCACCATCACTTGGTACCACCAAGACCTGGAACCACCATCACCTCCTCCTGGAGTCTCCCCAACCCTCCCAACACCCCAGAGCTGCTTCCCCCAGAGCAGGGCTCCCAGAGGCTGCCTCCTCTCAAGGCCATGGCCAGGGCCGGTCAGAGGGAGGTCGGACTGGGGGTATCCCATGAACTTGGGGAAATGGGCTGATATGCAGGGTGCCCAGAGCCAGCCCTGGAGAGGCCTGGGACCTCCTGTGGGCCCGGAATCCTGGGAGTGCACAGTGTACTGGGGCAGGGCACCGCGTCGGTCACCTCCTGCCCGATGACCAGCAGGATGCTGTCCTCCTTGCCGTGCTGGATCTGGCGGTAGATGTGGTCGAACACCAGCAGCTCGCTCCAGCAGTTCTGCAGCAGCGTCATCTGGTCGGCCACCTGCAAGGAGGCGGCGCACGGGGTCTGCATCCAGCATGGCCTGGCTGGGGACCTTCCTCTTACCCCTCCTCCTCCCAACTCTCAGAGCTGAGGCTCAACTGGGTATGTGACCTGGGCAAGCTGCTCAACTTCTCTGTGCCCCGTCTGCCCACCTGTCTACCTCATCAAAGTGTGGCAGGGCTCTAGCAAAAGAATAGGAGGGTCCGGCTGCAGGCCCCAGCTCTGCCTCTTACAAGTTCTATGACCTTCAGCAAGTTCTGTAACCTTTCTGGGCCTCAGTGGTCTCATCTGTAAAATGGGCAACGTATTAGGAAGCGGCCTGGCACACAGCACTCAGTCAATGCTGGTGCGCGTAGCCACAGGAGTGCTTTGAGAAGGACTCATTCAAATGCAAGGGAAGAGCAATATTAATTTGAACTTGGGCCCATCTGGCCTGTGGTCACATCTCTAGCAGCTCCAATCACTCATGAAGAGAAAACAGAGGGATTTCCCTGGGCCTCGAGCAGAGCCCTCGGGCCCAGGACAAGAAAGGAGGGCCGTCGGCCCCGCCCCAGGAGTGATCGGGTAGATGGCAGAGGTCTGACCGCTGAGCAGGAACAGCACAGACTGTAAACACTCAGGCTGCGGTCGGGCACTCAGTTCAAGAGCGGGGACAGCCCTGGGCAGCGCCCCTGTGCTCTGGGGAGTCATGCATTCAACATGGCCAGAGTGGACACTCATAGAGGGGGGGGGGGGGGGGGGTACTCAGAACCACGTGATGAGAAAGCCAGGAGGGATGCCCTGATGTAAGCCACTACTTTCCAAGTGAAGAATCTGCCACCTGGAGAGGGTGAGGGACCCTCCTGGGACCTCAGGCCAGGGCCATAGCTGCTGCTCTCAGTGCACTGCTCCCCACAGTGACAAATACTGAGCCCTCCTGGCCATTCAGAGCCGGCACTGGGGCTGTAGGTCACCCTAGGAAGACACAGCACAGACCTCGGTCCCTCTCAGCCTCTGCAGCTCACCAGCCAGACACCATCGACCAGCAGATACCTCTGGGCACCTTCCTGGGTGCCGCCCTACAGCGAACACAAACCATGATAGCTGACAGCTGCTGGACTGCAGCTCCACAACCCTGAGGTTGGTGTAACTGTTGTCCCATCTATGGAGAGAGGTATGAGCCCACAGGTGTCCACAGAGGGTCACACAGCTCTGTCTGGTTGCAGATGGTGCTCCTAGCCACCCATGGACTAAGACCCGCCCTTGCCACCCAGGGTTTCATGCAGGCTCTTTGCCTCCCCCACGAAGCCCTCACCAATCCTTCCTCCTTGCTCGGTGCCCTCACCGTCCTCTGGGTGTGGCACCTGCCACATCTGATGGCATTATTCATGCCTCTGTTTCCCCGGTACCTGTGGGACCTGGGAAGGCAGGACTGGGCCCCCAGAGGAGGCGTTAGTGAGCAGTTGATGGACAAGCATGTGCTCCCCAAGACAGCCACAGAGAGCACAGAGGAGCCACCCCAACCTGGAGGCCAGAGGGACCAGGCAGCCCCTGGCCTGAGCTTTCTCTTCTGTGGGTAGAAGCCCCTCCTCCTCTGTTCCACTCCTCTCCTGGGGGCAGTCCTGGGCAACACGAAGTGGGCAAAGAGCAGAGCGAGCAGCAGGACACACAGCCAGGCCTCCCTGCCCGCCCTTCCCCAGTGCGCACGACTGAGGACACGGCTGAGGGCAGGAGGGGGTCAGTCTCTGTCCTGCTCTGAGTCCCCAGCCTCCCAGCCTCCCAGCCTCCCTGCCTCCCTGCCTCATCCCATCTTCATGTCAAGAACCCAAACTTCTCTCTCCCCTCGGGACCAAGTTCTTCCTAGAGGCCCGTTACTGCCAGAACAGGAACCCAGCCAGGGGTCCCCCTGCTCAGCCACAGCTCGCCTGGGCGGCAGGGGCCGGGGAGATGGAGAACCGGGTGAGGGTGAAGCATGAAACCTCCTTGTCTCCCCTCCTCTGTCCTCCGCAGGGGCCAGGCCCAGAGAGCTGGCAGGAGGCCTCCCCACCCCACCCCAGGGAGGAGGCAAGGCTTGGCAGGTGCCTACGACCAGGCCCCGACCCCGGCTGAGCCGGGACCCCTCACCCCTGTCCTGGCAGCATTCGGCCCCTATTCCAGAGAAGGACACGGAGGCTCGCCTCGGGCAACACGGGGAGCTGGGCTCTGCCCAGATGCCCCCGAACTGGGCTCATCTTGGGAGGGGGAGGGGGCTGGGAACTGCCTGAGGCCCAAGTAGTTGGGACCAGCCCAGGAGTCACACTGGCCCAACCTGGGTGACCCCGTTGGAGGCAGAGGAGAAGGGAGGACATGCAGGGCTGGGCTCTGCCCCCACCCATGGGGCCCTCGGGAGCAGACACCCTTGTGCCTGGATAGAAGGAACAGGGGGTGGGAAGAGGGAAGAGCGAGAGATAAGGGGGAGAATTAGGAGATAAGCGGGCTGAGCCCCGGGCAGAAAGCAGAAGGGGTCACCGTGACCCGCTGGCCAAGCCCTGCAGCAGACTCTGTACCCAGACCTCAGGCCCCGGGTGGGGGTGGCCCTGCCCAGCGGGGCGATAGGAGCTGCAGGGGCGCAGGCGGGCAGCACGGTGGCTAAGCTTTGGCGCCCAGTGCCCTCTATGACTTCCCACTGGGCCACCCGTCCGTCTCTGCGCCGAGTTCGCAGCCGCTTTGGGTCAGAGAAAACGAGTGGCCGCAGTGCCGTCGGTCGGAGGGCTCTGGGGGCCACGGCAGTGCCCCCAGCCGAGCAGTCGTTCCTGCCAGACTCTTCACTCGCGCTTCCCCCCCATGGACAGATGGACACATAAAGACACCAACCTCCCCACACAGATGAACACACACACACTCTTCTTTTTCTATTAAAATAAAAACACGAGAGGCCGCAGCCGCCAGCCCCTCTCCATGGGAAAGCAGGTGGCTAAGAGGCTCACTTAACCAAAGAGGGCTGGTTTCACCTTCCACAAGTTTCTCCCGAAGCAAAAGGCTCCTCCTCTGCCCCAGTCCGCCCTGCCGCCCTGCGAACAAGGCGTTTGCCGCCCAGGCCCCGGGGTCCCTCGTCAGCCTGGCCTGTCGCCCAGCCCACCATTACCCGTCCCTCCTGCAGTCGGCCACAAATCTTCCTGGAGCCTTGACACTTGCAGCCTGCCTCGGAGACGGGGTATTTATGGGTGCAGAGCTGACCTCCCGCCCAGCAGGCCCCCCTCCGGAGCCCCCCGGGGTCCGGCTGGTCTGGTGGCCAAAGGCCAGCGGGCTCTGTAATTCTCCAGCGGCTGACATGCCACTGGCGGGCCACGGCGCTCCGGCCCAGTGGTCGGGGGGCCCGCCGTTTGTCAGTCCAGGACTGACAGAGTTATGCCGCTTAGATGAAGCCATATATCTGAGCAGTGAAACCTGTTGCCAGCCGGGGGCCTCGGAGCTGGATGTTGGGGTGAAGTGATGTCGAGATGGGTCATTAGGCACTCCTGGCCCTCGCCTCCCCTCGCTGATTCCTATCTTGCATCCTCCCAGCCTGTCCTTCCTGGGAGCTGTCCAGACAGGCCGACCGGCTGGGCCTGCGCACTGCCCCCCACTGAGCAGCAGGTACAGGTGGGTTTCCGCTACCTGGCCAGGGCCAGGTGGGCCCCATCTCCTCCCAGAACTCTAGTGCCCAGGGAGCACGGTCTCCAGGTGTCTCCCCACGCTTCCTACACCAGGCCGTACGCCACCTGCACACACACAGTGAATCACGGAGCAGCAAAGAAGCCGGTCAGGAGGGGAACGCTGCTCCCTGTACTAAATGCTCTACCCTCCTCGCTCACTAAATCCTTACAACAGCCCTTCAGGGTGGAATCTGTTTCAACTCTCCCCACTTTACAGATAAGGAAGTGGAGCTCCGGAGGAGTAAAGTGACTTGCCCAAAGCCACACACCTGGAAAGTGGCAGAGCGGGGACTTGAACACAGGTCTCTCTGATTCTGGCTGTTGCTATTCACTTCAGTGCCACTGTCAGACCTAACAGGCCGTGATGTGTGAGATGAAAAAATGGAGGCAGAGGGACATCCAAGCTGAGAGACAGGATGGAGGAGGAGAACCCCAAAGGGGCATCTGGAGCCCCAACATCTGAGCCCCCAGCACCCCTGACAGCGCAGCAAAGACCCAGGCCTTCGCTAAACACTGGGACGTCATTAGCTTCATAAGAGAGCTGAGTGGCCCCGGGGAAGAGGGTGTGGGGCTCCAGCCAGCCTGGCCCATCACCCACTGGTCCAAGCTCTGCTTCTGGCCCTGCCAACCTCTCCAGCCCCGCCTCACGGTCCCCCTGGAGCTGCCTGACACAGGATGCCTTCCCACGCGCTGGGCCTTAGCCTATGTGTTCCCACTTGCTGAAATGCCTGCACCTTCTCAGGTGTGTTCTGGAAAAGCACGGACCAAAGAAACCTTCCCTAACTTCTTTAGGGTGTTCCACTCTCCCGCTGGGCTCCCTCGGCCCCTTTCCATTGCTCTCAGGGCCCTGGGCACCCTGTGTGGGCATCATGTGCATGCACGTCTGTCTCCTCCTCTAGCTTGGCAGCCTCCTGGGTCCAAGGTGCCCAGCGCCCAGCTCAAGGGCTGCCCGGCTCTCAGAGCTAGGGAGCCCCCTTTGCTGTCTGCTGAAATGTATCCTGCCTGGAGCCAGGGGGATGCACGGTCGGCCAAAAGGGAGGACAGGTCACTCAGCAACCCTCCCACTTCTCTGCCTCCCCCCGTGTGGGAGGTGGCCCAGTGGGAAACGAGGTCTTTGTGGCTGCTGAGGGGCCCTCTAAGGGCTGGGCTGGTACGTATCTGCAAGGCTCCCTTACAGAGGGTGGGGACCATGGTTCAGATTCCTGGGCTCAATTCAGAGACTCTGGGAAGGGGAAGCAGGAAGGTTTGGACCACAGAGAAGCCAGAAGCAGGAAAAAACACTCAGCAAAGCTGGGACAAAAGCCCTTCCCATCCTGCGTGAAAACCCCCGAGAGACTAGGAAGGCGGCCAGAGGAAGTGCCCTGCCCCTGGATCCAGGGTTCTGGAAGGCCGGGAATGCTCTGCTCCTCCTCCCTTCTGCACAAGGGGCTCATGGGAGGTCTGGCCACCAACCCAAGGGTCCTGGGATCCTCATCCCCACCAGGGCCTCCAGCCATGAGTAGCAGGCAGGTGGGGTTGCTCAAGGCCCTGTCTCTTGTCCCATCTATGAGGGCAGCCCAGACGGGAGGCAGGGGTGAAAAGACCCACCCACCCATGACACCTGGCCTATCCCCAGGCCTCGGCCAAGATAGGCCCTTGGCTATCGAATCACCGCCGGTTCTTGACTCCCAGAGTAACCCAGGCCTCGGCCCCATGATGCCTCTAGGGCTCCGTGCCCATCCTCACCTAATCGCCCCCCCGCCCCTATGCCCAGCACGGCAGGCAGCGCCCCCAGCCCATCCGGCCACCTGCCCCTGGAGGAAGCCCAGGCCTGAGTGGCGTCAGCACTGAATGCTGCTCAAGGCTGCCGTGGCCCCAGCAGGGAGGGCGACGGGTCCTGCTGTTTACACCCAGCCCCGGAACAGCTAGGAGGGCCGGCCCGGGCAAGGCAAACACCAGTAGGCCTGAGCTATTGGTGCCCAGGCCAGGGCGTCGGGCCTCGGCTGGATTTGGGGTGCCTCTGAGGTTGGCAGCACACTCTGATCATAGGGAGTCAGGGTGCTAGAGGGACAGCTGCCAGGCCGCGGGCCCTTCAAACCACTAGGCAAGGTGACTGGCAAGTTCTTCCTTGTCTGGCTTCAGTTTCTCCTGCCGCTTTAGCTGCAGGTACCTCAGCCCAGGGGGGTGGAGGGCTGAGCAGTGGAGGGAGCCGGCCTCCTCTGGATTGTGCAGGCCCTGCAATCTCCACCTGCTCTCTCACTCGCTCCCCCCGCCACACACACACACACACGCAGATACACATACACACACACACAAACACGCAGATACACATACACATGGGACCGACCACTGTGCACGAGAGAGGCAGGGACAATAAGCCCCTTCACCTTGGCTGGGAATCGGGCCCATGAGCATTCCAAACTCCGAGACACTAAGACTCCCACCTATGACCTCTGAGGCTGGCGGGGATCGGTGGCTTCTCCAAAGGGAGAGACAGGGCGGGGTGGACCCTCTCCCTGACGCTGCGCTGGGGCAGCCTGAGACCGTCTCCCAGGACTCCGCTAGCCCTTTGGGAGCCTAGGGTCTCAGAGGAAGGGAGATCAGTGCCTGTAGAGACCCAGACTAGGAGAGAAAAAGACAGGGAGACAAAAAGGGCTGGAGAAACACAGAGAAGCAGAGAGACAGCACACCCAGGAGAGGGAGAGAGAGAGGGAGAAGGAAAGGAGAGAGAGAGGCAGAGATAAAAGAAGCAAAGGCTGTGAAAGATAGAGACTCAAAAAATAGAGAGAGGGAGAGGGAGGAGGGGAGTGGGGAGGCAGGAAGGCTGCAAAGGACCAGAAATGCTCCTCACGCCTCCTGTTGCCAGACAGGGCCTTAGCCAGTGGGCAGGACAGCCCCCTCCCAGGGGTGACTGAGATTGAGGCTTGAGCAGCCAAGAGGACACCCCAGAGCCAGCTGCCGGGCAGGTGGGATGAGGGACTCACCTCCAGCTCCTTGAAGACCATGCACCTGCGTGCCCAGTCGACGATGGAGATGAAGGTCTGGTCAGCCATCCTGCACAGCAGGCTGAAGGGCGCAGGCTGTTCGGAGCGGCCTTTGGCCGGTTCCTGCAGGCAGCCCAGGATGCGCGCCCGCACCTGGTCCTCATCTGGCTCCAGCTGCAGCAGCTGCAGGATGAGCTCAGGCACGCCAGGCCCTCCGGAGAAGGGCTCCGGGTAGCCATAGGGCGGCCCGGGCTGTGGCGGGCTGGCGTAGGGCTCTGGGTACTCGGACTTGATGGCACGGCCAGGGAAGGTAGGATACAGGTAGCCGGCCAAGGGCCCGTGGGCACCAGGCACGGCCATGGGCAGTGCTGGGGCCCCAAAGTCGCCCAGTGGCCCAGCAGGTGGCCCAGAGGCCAGGCCCTTGGGCTCTGGCGCATGCAGGCCAGGGGGTAGCAAGTAGTCCGGCGGGGGTGGGGGAGGTGGGGGCACCCCCGCTGGGGGGCCTGTCTCCATCTTGAAGCCATTGGCTCGAATCTGTGCCTTCTTCTGCTGCTTCAGGGCCCGGTCCCGCTTGTACATGGGCCCAAATTTGTTCCGGCCGCCCCGCATGCGGTCAGCACGGACAGCTGTGGGCAGAGGTGGGGGTCAGGCTCACCCTCTTCAAGCCACCCTCCAGACCACCCCACTCCCGGGTCTTTCCCAAACAGCTCTGTCTGTGTCACTCCCAGCTCAGTACCCTGTGATGGCTCCCTCTGGCCCTGTTCCCCTTTCTAGGTGGTCCCTCATGAGACCCTGTGTTCTTTCCACTCCACCATATTCATCTCTCTGCTCCTCAGCCTGGCACTTCTTCCACCCTCCCTTTGATAGTCCTTTTGCCTCACACCCTTTCCTTCTCATCTGCCTGATGAACACCCAGCCCTCAGGTCACCACCTCCAGGAAGCATTCCTGGATTCGCCCAGGCAGAATCCATTGTCCTAGCCCCTGATGTCCTGCCCCTTGCCCACTCTCATCCTGCTGAGTGGCATCCAGCCATGGGGCCCAGGCTGAGAGCTCCTGGGGGCTTTGCAACGGGTCAGGTCCCCAGCACAGGGACTGGCAGGGAGACAGTGACGGGAAGTAGGGACTGGACAACTTTGCTCGCAGCTGACGCCAGTATCCAGCTGCTCACTGACTGACTAGTTAACTCTGGCAAACCCCTGTTGCAAAATGACTCAGGTTCGCTTTCAAATTTGAGGCTCAGTTTAGGGCTGTCCAGGCTCTGTGCTGGGGGAAGGGACCTCCCTTGCTGACAAGGTGTCCCTCTGCCTGGCCAAGAATATGTCACCAGCCAGACCTCAAGGTCGCATCTCTGAAGCTCCAGTGCGGCCCAGCCCCTGCTCGGACAGGGACCCCACCCTGGGCTCTGGGAAGAGGGAGGGAGCAGGAGGGAGAGGCGATCTTGGGGGCCTGCCCAGCCCACCGTGCTGCCAGGGGTGGGCAGCCCTGCTCTGAAACCTCAGGCCCCACCTGGGGTTTCTGCTGCTCACAGCAACCAGCTCTCCTGGACACTGAGGACCTGGATCTGGGGACATGGGCTTTGGGGACAGGACAGGAGTTTCTCAACCTTCCTAATGCCGCAACCCTTTAATACAGTTCCTCATGTTGTGGTGACCCCCAACCATAAAACTATTTTCGTTGCTACTTCATAACTGTAATTTTGCCACTGTTATGAATCGTCATGTAAATATCTGATATGCAGGATGTATTTTCGGGGTCGAGACCCACAGGTTGAGAACCGCTGCGTGGAAGACAGTGGTCTGCAGCTCTGAGTCACTAGGGCCCTTCTTCGTTGTTTAAAAACTCTAGCCAACAGCTGCCTGCTGGGCGAACAGCTCAGCTGGAGCCCTCAGGGTGGAAGCCTACGACTGTCCACCCTCAAAGAGCTTGAGTCCTTCCTGCTGAAATGTCTCTCCTCCCCTCTGAACTGAGAGCTGGGGGTGGGGGTGGGGAGATAAGATGGGCCTGGGACCTCTGGGGGCAATGGCTCCCCACTCCCCAGCCCTCTCCAGGTCTGGCTAAAAACATGGGGTGGGGGGGGAATCTCACCCGCTGAGAGAATGAACTGAGTGAATTGTTGGGATGGATAGGTAGGCTGTATGAATGAGGGCTAAACAGCAATGACAGACAGATAATGACAAAGAGCGATAATAATAATAGCAAACCTGTTAAGCATTGACCATGTACCAGGCAGGGTACTAGGAGCTATTCACACAATTCCCTCACACCCATCCAATGAGTCAGGCACTGCTATGAAGCCCATTTTGCAGATGGGGAACCTGCAGTTCAGAGCGGAACTTGCCTAATGTCTGTAAGTGACAGGCTTGGGACTTGACCTCCAGCAAACGAGAGGCTGACTCCGGCTGGAGGCGGGTGTCAGAGCAGGAATTGCAGAACCTTTCGCAGAGGGAGGAGCTCTGCGGGGCTCCCTGTGCTGCTGGGCCCTTTGGGGACCCGGGGTTCACATGCAGGTATTTTTTAACGCAACTCTGGCTGGTCCTGCATACATCCCTCCCCGGCCAGAGCGAGGCCAGTTCTTACCCCTTCCCAAGAGATCGGCTCTAGTGTCCCCCAGGCCCCAGAAACTTTAGGGGGGCCGGTGGCTCCCTCC